TGTGATTTCGGGCTTGGTCTTACTGAACACCCTGGTTATATGTGATTTCGGGCTTGGTCTTACTGAACACCCTGGTTTTATGTGATTTCGGGCTTGGTCTTATTGAACACCCTTGTTATATGTGATTTCGGTCTTGGTCTTACTGAATGACCAGAAATATATGGTGAAAACAAAGTTTGGTTGTTGGTGTTTGTTTTTTTTGGGGGGCAAACCATAACAAAAATAGAAATCATGACAAACTAAAGGTAATGGAAAGTTTAGAAACTTAGTTATTATTTAACACACCCACCAGTTGAACCACCGGGACATTTCTCTATCGCTACTTGTCCTTCTCTTGTCCAGTTCCAAAGAATACTTCTTGCGATGACAGGTGGACAGTACAAAGCATTATGAAATACTGGTGGAGGTGATGACGAACTGTGATACACTGTTGTTGTCTCTATTCAAACACAAATTATCAATTCTTTAATCTAACAACACGGTACACATTTAGATATTGGATGGGATACTCTAATGAAACAAATATTATCAATTCCTCAACAAAACAGCACTGTATAAACACAATACACATTCAGTCATCGCAATAACATGAAAACAGTTTTTCTAATGACTGTTTTTATACAGTGGTTATAACAGAATGTGATTGAAAAATATAATCATTAAAAACAATTCCTAAACCAACTAGAAAAAGTTAGGTATTTAATAGGACATGGCTCTGAAATTTATGAGGGCTAAGACATTATAGTAAAAGTCAAAGAAACTTAGTTTAAGCCCTTATGTGACCTTTAATTTGTAAGATTACATTCTATTCGTAAATTAGTAGTAATTTGTTCACTAAAGAAAAATACTTGAGAGTACGAAAACACATAAATATGTCTTACCAACCATTTTCTGATGGAACGTTATTCCTGCTTTAGTAAGGTAGACTAAGAGACACTTATAATACGACAATATTATTATTATTATGACGTGCGAGGAAAGATCGAATCACTATCTACCTGTTTTGGATCTCGTAAATTTTCTGTCGTATTCAAATGTATTGGTAGAGTTTGAAGAAATAGAAATGAACGTTGAAATTGAAGACGATAATGATAAAGTTGTGGGGATCGGATGCTCTGTCGTTGGTGTCGTTGTTGTTGTTGTTCTTGATTTGGTAATAGGAATTATGATTGGTGGCCTTGTAGTTGTAGTTGTGGAAGTTGTCGTTGTCGATGGTGTAGTTGTCGTTGTTGATGTTGTTGTTCTTGATTTGGTAATAGGAATTACGATTGGTGGCCTTGTAGTTGTAGTTGTGGAAGTTGTCGTTGATGACATGGTAGAAGACAAGGGGTTAAATTCTGAAAAACAATTCGTAACATAATCTTGGACACTTAAGATATCTTTTTTTTTCATTCATACAAAATATATCCTGTTTTTCTAAGAAATAAATCACACGATAAAAAACCAATCATGCAGCAAGCCAGAAACTTTCGAAAACTTGCTTCTAGCGTTCAAACAATTGAGAATGGTGACATGCTACTATAACTGTTTGTTACATAAATTATTAGATCTTCAAAAATAACAAAAAATAGGTTGAATTATATTTCGGTGATTTTAATTTTATGAAGCGCTTCACAAGCAAGCACATACTTCCATTAAGAGAACATGTGATTTTCAAACTGTAAAAACGATGACACCAGGGGATTTACGGACTTGTCAGTAAAAAAAAGTCTCGTCCTTGAATATTATAAAAGAACCCTATATATTAACGTATAAATTAAACATCAAAGAGATGATAAAAAAAAACCTGAGTATTTTAAATCACTATTTATGTATGCAGTTATTTTTCCTTATCATTAAAATATTCGCCAAATAACCTGACGTCATTACGAATCCCTGTTACTCGCAAATGATGAATGAGCGCAAAAGGTTAAATAAATTGATCATTTCCTTTGACGTAGATGTCTTAACACACTTTAACGGGCGTTGCTATTATAACTCTTTAATAATTCAAATTAATTAAATGACCATCCTTATAAGAAACCTTCTACTTATGTTAAAACGAACCTCTGAGAACTTTACGTGATCTGGTCCAGACACTATTTATACTGTGGAAAATGTTAAAAGCTATAACAAAAATGGTTAATTTGATTGTAAAATAGCTGGACAATTCGAGACTTCACACACATATATATATATATATATATATATAATTGATAAGTTAATTAACAATAAGAACTTTGCGTCTTACGATCTATCCTTCTGCTTTAATGCTGGTTTTTTTTTGGTATGTTGAGTTTGTTTGCTATGACCAGCATTAGTTACGTATGTAAACATTCTGTAAACTAACAAACAGCAAGATTCTTGAAGACTGCGTTGCATTGTGTGTATTGAGTTTGTTCGCTATGGCCAGGCCCCTCAGTGGCACAGCGGTAAGTTTACGGAATTACAACGCTAGAAACCGGGTTTCGATACCCGTGGTGGGCACAACACAGATAGCCCATTGTGTAGCTTTGTGCTTAACTTTAAATAAACAAAGCTATGGCCAGCCTTAGTCACACATGTAAATATTTTGTAAACGTAACAAACAACGAGATTCATGAAGACTGCGCTACACTGTTTATTTTTGAACAGCTACTTAATGTGTACTTAGAAATAATGATATAAAAAACTTTGAAGGAACTTTGTTATGAAATATGAAAATTCTATATGATGTTGATAAAATCCAAGTTCAAAACTATCTCAATACAAGCGACTATTGATTATTGAAGGTCGTTTGACCTGTGACCTCAATAAAAAAAAATTCAAGACGAAACACTTAACTACGAGTAAAATACGTTATTGTTTTCACAATAACTGACTAGGACCAGCCGTTATTATCGTATAACTAACGATTAGTTTATAAAAATCGTTTCAGTAACTTTGACATATATATTCTTCACCATCTAACCCCAAACTAATAAGTGCGAATAGTTTAGTAACTAAATTCCTGATGTAATAGGCCAAGTTAACTGGGTGGCATCTATTGAGGGTTGCGATAAAGATATCATAAGCGCGATTTATGACGTTCATCTAATTTTACTAAATATGTATTACGAAAACTTGTGATAAAAATGTTTACATTTCTTACATCAATTAACCTTCCTATGTTCTTAATGGAATATAAGTTATATACTTTTAACTTAGACGTCTAAAAACCACAAAATTTATGGCTAAACCTTGCAGTAAAATGTAAAACGCGCCTTTCCACTCCGAAATCTTAATTAAACTAAGACACTCACGTAAGTCACTCAAGGGTATGTTACGTAAAAACAAAACTAGATGTGACATTAGTTAAAATGTATTTCAATGACGAAGAGTTATTCAATCCGTCATTTTCTGCCGTCCCTAATTTAGCAGTGTAAGACTAGAGGAAAGGCAGCTAGTCATCACCACCCACCGCCAACTCTTGGACTACTCTTTTACCAACGAATAGTGGGATTGATCGTCAGATTATAACGCCACCACGGCTGAAAGTGCGAGCATGTTTGGTGTGACGGGGATTCAAACCCGCGACCCGCAGATTACGAGTCGAGCGCCCTAACCACCTGGCCATGCCGGGCCTCGAGTGAGATGAATTACCTTTGAAGAAGTAAATGCAACTGGTTTTATTTTTAGTATTTCGAAAGAAGGATTATACTACACAGAACAAACCTAAAAACACAGAGCACAAAGACCAATAATCTCGTCATTGTTCCAGCTGAAAAACGTGTACTAACCTCGTCATTGTTCCAACTCAGAAATGTGTTCTAATCTCGTCATTGTTCCAACTCAGAAATGTGTTC